CTTTTTTTTTAATTGGCCTTGGCATAGTAACGATTGGCCTAAAAGTAAAAGGTGGAAATTTTTAGGCCATTTTAATCATTTTTCAAAAAATCAGGCAAAAGCGCAAACGCGCGCGTTGGCCATATTTTGAATAAAAATTATCATTTTTTTTTTTATTGAAAAATGGAAAACTTAATATTTTTAAGATGGTTTCTAATTGATTTCTTAAACCTAGAAAATGCGTAGGCCTATACGAATTTAAACCGGACGCGTGCACTTCGTACCGTATAACTTAGTACTGTAATACTGTATACATGATAATATCTTGGTAACGGCACCGTGAAACATTTTCAAACTTGGCACAATGGTCACACTTTATAAGAAGTAAGATGCTATGTATCAAAGTGAATTAGGCCTACGTCATGCGTATGCTGCATGAGCAGAGCGTTCAAACGTCCTGTATTATATCTCAAAAAGGACAGACCACCTGTTCACAAGTATAAATCTTCGGTTATTTATTTTTATTCCCCACACCTATATCAATAAGCTTTCAAACGAGACCAACCACGATCGAATCTGACGAAAGTTTGTAATGTTTTTATGATATTCAAGACATTTTTAGGACAAAAATAGTCTTGAATACCATAAAATATAATGAATATGTAAACGGGTTTTTATTTAACAGTAATTTCTCAGGACAATATGTTTCAAATGTAAGATAGTAAAGCGAATTTGTACATATCAAAACCCAGCCCGGAAAAGCTGTGGTCTCAAAATATTCCCAGTCGACGTAACATTGGTGTTCGGTTGAAGTACAACAGCAATACAGTATAAACAGCAATGTGTTGCCTACAACATAATTTTAAAGAAATCTGTGAGCGAAATAACATTAACAGTAATAAACAATATTTTAAAAAATGTCGGAATGAGTCCTTAGAAACACCAAACGTCACGAAGGTGTCAAACAAAAATAATGCAATTGCTTCTTTTGTCTCATTTTTTCCAGATTTAACCTGAATAATATAAAATGTCAAAAAAAAATGCTTTTATGGTATGTTTCATACAGTACTCCTATATAAGCTGCGCAGTATTTTATTATTAGGGAAATATTGCGGTTGGTTTCCATGTTCATACTAGAACATCCAAGATGCTACCCTGATTATGCCAGTCAAATTGCAAGTATCTTGTTTGCATAAAGCCTATATTATTACTTTCCACCAGCTAGATTAAACAAACCAATCGTAATGTTGGTAGTATATGAGTAAGCTATTAGACGTCTAAATTGTCTTTGTTCCCAAACGAATCACTCGTACGTTGTCCTCTCTAGGTCAGATTTTCCTCTTCTTGCACTACCCGTGTGAATCTGGTGTTCACGTACGCACGATTACGGGATACCGGTTATTTTGAGGTCATGCAATATCGACTACTTTTCTAGAGAAAAAATATTCTTATGCGAATTATTTTTTAACTATAAGCTAATATGAAGAAACCAAAGAGAAAGCAAATGCTTTAATGTCCTCTGTTGCACCTCCAGCTAAAACACAAGAACAGTAATGAAATTGAATCTGGGATTCAAGTAATGTTTCATTCCTGGGATCCAAGTAATTTTTCATTCCTGATGATGACATAATTAATGCCGAAATATTGAATTCAAACACGATGGCGTGCAATTGAATACTTGTATACATTCTTATCTGAGATTAACCAGTGGACTTTTCGGATCCAAGTGAACTACTGCAAAAAACTGCTGCAATATAATAATATGATAGCTTCTATATCCACCAGAGCAAACAAATTGGAAGATTGCATTATTGTACTCCATTGACTTGTAATTGGAACACAACAGTCCATTATTCGAGTTTTTTTTTTGTTTTTTGTTTTTTTTTATCTTGTGGTCATCTTTGTCATTGTATTGTAAATGTTTTTAATGACGAAAAAGGATGAGATATAATATTATGACGAAAAAGGATGAGATATAATATTATGATGTATTTCCTCGGTGGCGGATCTAGAAATTCGTAATAAAGGTGGCCCAGTTAAGGTCCAGCCACCTCTGTCCCACCATGGTTGATGCCTAGATGGAAATTTTAGGACGTGTACCTCTAGATGGCCGAAAATAGCACTCTCAGACTTAAATTTAAATACAATTTTCTTTTTCTCTCTCGATTATATTTTATTTTGAAAATTTTAGGGGATTGGGAGGGAAGTAGGGGAAGGCGGGCCTTCAGAACCCCCTTGAATCCACACTTGTCCTACAGTCGATGTTTTGTTGACCAAACTATTTCTTTATCCGAAGTCGGATACAGGGTCTCTCGCGTCCTGTAATTGTTAGGCAATTAGCACATTGATATTTATCTCAGCACATTTGAGGTGGGAAGGGTGATAAGTTTAAGAAAGCGCCAGAGTATGTGCTGGTGTGTTGGATGCGAAGGACGTCTCGTAAAGTGCTCTAGTGGAGTCACTAAGATTATACCTCAGTTGATCATTGGTATGATGTTTAAGAAAGGCACAGGCTTTCATTATTGTGAGTAGTCGAGTCATCGGGCTAGAGCAACCACAATCACTCACCAGACGGACAGATAGATGGAACGTACTGAAGTAAAAACTACGAGACAGAAAACAATAAATGAATTAGAACCAGTACTTGGAGTCTAAGTCGTTGTGTGACGTATTAACCCCGGTGACACCCTCAGTCAGAGTGCGTGAATTGAATTTCCACATTCTACAAGCGCTATATAAGTCTAACATAATTATTAAAATATTATTATAATTTTTTATTATGAATGTTATATGCCTCTAACATGCATAAAAATATAGTAAAAATGAACGCACAGTAGCATACGGTTAAAAATAGTATCTGTAAATCTAAAAGTAGGTTATATTATGAATACTGTAATACAAAAAATACATAGATCCGTTTATGAATTATTTACAGATATTATGTGTGTAGCTGTAGCTAGCGTACAAAATTTGTATTTTGGGGTTTTTTTTTGTGTGTGGTAACCCACTTTTATTCATATATTTATATAGATATAAAAATATAAAATAAAAACTGAGCATTAAATCATGCACTACTAATACCACATAAAATACGTTAGTCTAACGCCATAGAAAAGAAATTAGTCTAAACCCATAGAAAAATTAATAGTCTATACTAATAATATAGAAAACATCTAATACCTTAAGCATTCGTAGTTGGACAAATCTAAACTACGCAACCTTTATTGTTCAGATGTGTATTATTTTTTTTAAACCTAAACCTACAAATGGAGTGCCGCGAGCATCGCCAGTGCTAGGTTGTATCTATGTTTGTGATACAAAAACATTTTACTGAAAAAGTAACCCGATATAACAAATCAACAACAAATGAATAAATTAAAAGATAACTAACCATACTCGAATATACGCTGCGGCGCTTATAACATTTTTGGAGGCGCTTATTCGAGATCTGCGCTTATAAAATATTGGCATGGCGCTTTCCATGACCGTTCCCACGTTACATCTCACGTATTCCCGTAGTTCGGTAGGCCTCATAGGTCCTACGTCATCATAAATAGTTTATAAAGAAATGTTTGTGTCTTCATTGTCTTCATTGTGTTATTTTATTCATTTTAAAACTGTACACATTGTATTTAAAGCCCTGTTTCTCAAAAGTGTTTCATTATTCACAGGGTAATAATGTACTCACGATTAAGCGCCACGGCCATTGTGTTTGTCCTGATTTTTTTTCTTCTATCCCGTTTCCCTATGGTTTTTCTGAGCGGCACTTTGATCACTTTGCTTGTATCTTCTTCAAACTTTGTCCAAACAAAGACCATATATTAATGTTGTGGTGTGAGCAATCCTGTATTGATTAGATTAGGTTTAACCCCCGGATGTGAGCGTGTGAGTCTCCTTAATTGGATAGAGAGCATGGACGAGCACAAAAGAAAGGCTATGGTGTCGGTTACCACAAACTTTTATTTATTTATCTCGTACTGTTACTGTTAATATAACATATTAACAGCTTAAACAAAACAATGAAAATACAATTTTATATAATCATTAATACTATTAGTTATCACTATAACTTCTCTGTAACTGTCACCAATCATTACTCGTAATGAAAACACTAACCATGGCAACAATATGTTATCAGTTGGATTGGACTTATTCGATGTAATCACAAAGGATAACCCACGGAATACTCTATTAACAAACAATATTAACAAACACTGGCAAATCACTATAAACACTTGTTAAATTACAGCATTACATGGCAATCAATAATGATAAATGCACCATTTTAACGTTCAAACAGAATCTATTCTATATTAATACCCGAATCGAATCACAAAACTAACAACGGAATTCACATTTCCTCCTAATACAACAGTAACACATGTAAGTAACCATATTCACTTCAGAACCAACAAGAGATCTACATCTTTGTTCAACGGAAAACAAATACCGTGTCTTCTGACGCAGCGGCCGATGCAAATGCATTATAGACAGCAAGCCACTGGCTATGCAAATTACATGAAACCACCACGCGAACGCAGATGCAGCAATCCATACAAAAATACAATAAACAGGTAAGTACACGAAGCAAAATTGCGTTTTCGAAAGCGTTTTAAACTGGCCACAGCTAGTGGTCACAGGTATTGGAGTTGAATAGCTTGGTGGTTAAGATGCTTGTCTTCCAATCCCAGGGTCCTGGGTCCAATTCCTGGCAGTGTTGCAGGTTTATTTTCTCACGACCAAAACAACTCCACTCCCTAAATCTCATATTGAGATTTAGTTTGTGTAAAGCATCCTGTGTGTACGTTTGTCTTGTGTAAGGGATTGTCACCTACAAGTAGGACAGTGATATATTCGCTATTGACAATACTTGGCACATGTCTGTCTCTTATACACATCTAGATGTGTATAAGAGACAGAGATTAAAAGCTACTATAGAACAAGGGCTGCAATTGTTTGGTTAGGGTGATGTATAGAGATATATATATATATATATATATATGTATATATATATATATATATACATACTATATATATATATATTATATATATATATCGGAAAGGCCTGTTTTCTTTAACGTCGTTTGTTTTTGCAGTTTTAATAGTATAAACTTGTAGACAAAATAATGTGTACTAACATTTTTGGAACGCTTCATTATGTACTGATGGTCCTAAATGAGCCGCCGCTCATCGAATCATCTTCCCAAATAGATTTGTTGGCATAATAAATAATACAGAATCAATAGTAAATTAATTGCGAGTTTCAAAATAAAAGCTTTTTCAGCTACATTTAAACCAATAGTACAATGACGATGTAAATGCTCACGACAGCATTTCATTTATAATGTGTTCGTCGTCTGAATCAAGTATGCTGGTAAGCCAGTTTATGATGCCTATTCGTTGAGAGTTTTTTATGGTTGACAAAAGGTTTACTCCAGAACAATGATAGTTTGGCATTGTTTTCTTTTCTAGAAATTCCAGCAGTTTTCGTAGAAGATCTTTGAAACGATATTTGAGTTTGTCCTTGTCCCATGGCCCAATAGTTTTGTCGTCGTTTAGATGCAGCATACATGTCTTGAGGTGATAGGAATCCAGTGCTTCTTCTAGTAATGAGGCCTTCTTCTCCTTCTTCTCACGAATTGTCTTAAGGATCTTCAAACAAGTACGGCGACATTCGTCCTCCTTATCCATTTTTTTGATAATTTTTTTTTCTTTCTCTGAATAACTTTCACGCCAGAGGTAATTGTGCATATTCTCAGGACTTTTATAGTCAGCGTCAGGGTGCTTCTTCGCAACGAACAGATTGTCATCAATCCTAATTGAAGGAACAATATCGATTTTCATTTTTTGTTTATCATCATCATAGCACACACCAAGTGTCAGTGCTGGGCCTAGACCATGGCAGAGGGTTATATCTCCTTGGAGATATGGGAAATTCATTTTATTTATGGCCCTTTGTACAATTGATTGCATTCTCTGTTTTATCGTGATAGGATCCAAGTACACACAATTGAAAATGGCATTCTCATAAAGGGTCTTCGCATTTTCATCTTTCTCAATATAAAAATACTGGGTTTGTGCTACAATTGCGTCATCATTGTGTTCCTCAGCAGTTTCTGCAGTGTAGGTCCATAAGCCATCCTCCAATTCCAATGGCAGTAAGAGGTCAAACTCATTTGGTTCAATTACTTTTAGTCCTTCATAACTACTGCCTTGAGATATGATGTTGCCAAAAATGTACTTCGATTCACTCTCATTGATAGGCATAAGACCTACAAACCATTGGAGAGAGCGTTTAATGTCTTCAACAACCTCCTTAGCCCTCTTCCGCTTGGCATTTGGGATGGCCACAGCTTCACTGTAGTACCTTCTTAGCTCTTTCGTCAATGATTTCCGTCGTTGAAGATAGTGCATATCATCTGTAAGGGGACTAATGTCATCTTCTTCAGCCTCACTTGGGTTTCGTTTTCCCATAACTGCAGACCAGTAAGCTCCCATAGTGATGGTACTATCTTAAAAGAAAAAAAACCCCACTTTCTTAATGAACAAAATCAAACAAATCGTCCTAAAATACATACTATTTAGCATATAATTTAACAAATGGGAGACTGAATTCTGTGTGTGGTTAAACAAATATCATTCAGTGGATATATTGATTAGTCCTATAAATTTAGTCAGTATATGCATACATTAAAAAACCATGTTATTAGTTTGATGTAATTAAGCGCAATGCTGCAATGTCAAATTTTATCGTTTTAATAATGAACCAGAATAAATGAATTAATAACAATAATAATAAAAACAATTCAAAGAATCGTCAACCGACTTACTGTTTTGATGTGTGCCTGGTTACGATGGATATGGATGTGTAGGTGGGAACCTCGTAAATGTTCTAACTGTGATGCAGCGCTGCATCTTGTATACATTCAGAACATGTGTCTGAATATGATTGGATGTTTCGGTGACGTACCGTAGCCTATAAGGTCAGGTAACAAAAATATCTAGTTTCTCGTCTGGAGTTTAAAACATTTTAAACACAAGGCACTTTCTTTTTGTTGTATAATACGCTTCAAAATGCATCAAATTTCGTTATTCACAAAGTAGGCAAGCCACATGTGCATTGGTTTTTTTTTAAACATTAATGGACGGGGCAGGCAGCCCAGAACCTCTCAATGGGGTCCAGAGCTATACATTCAGAGCATTTGTGTATAATAAATTAACAGTTCTTATTTGACTCTATACTGATTATATTTCATAGTACATATTCAAATATTAGGGACAGTCTTATTGACAATTGTGTCATGGTGGTGGGATAATTGTAAAAATGGACAACAGCAATTAAATCGTCGCCTTATGCTTGATAATATGTATAGGCCTATATATGAAAATGTAAAAAGGCAATTTTCGTTTTCCATTGTAAAAATATTTCATTCATGCATGGACAACTATAGAGCTTCTAAACTATTCACTTTAGCTTTCCAAACAAATTAAACTGTACAGTTATTATATATTTTACTGCAACCATTAAGTTAGTGTCATTAGGTTATTTTATAACTCACCTCAATTTATCTTTGCCATTTGGTTCTGGTTCTGGTGGGTAAAGATCGACCGCCAAAGGACTCCAAAAGTGTAGGAGTAAAGCAGTAGGGGTAGAATTCGTGTCGAATGACAGGAAATGTCAAGCATGGTAGATATAACATTACAGTATGGAATTTTAGTGTTCTTAAATATTTGATTATTTTCAATTTTTTTTCTTTTATTTTACTTTATTTGTTTTTTATTTATCTATTTATTTTATTATTTTTTTAAATATATATTTAATTCTTTCACTAAATTCTGATAGACAAACCTTATGTATTTTGAGAGTGAGATCACACTACTACGTTGGACGTAAATATTTATTTATAGTTGAATTTCATTTAATTACAGTATCAAATGGCAAGGAATCGTGTTACAAGTCTAACAATGAATGTCTTATGTTTGTGCAATGGGTGAGTAATTCGTTGACAATAGGACTGCTCTCCATCGACTAGGCTGTGGGGCAGCCCATATATATTCACATTTATTCTTTTTAAAGTTTTGTATATTTAATATTGTATTTCGTATTCACGTTATTTGTAATTTAGATGGATGCACCACCAGATGGTGTGGTCATTGAACCGAAAGTAGGCATAAATAAGCCACGTACATCTACTTCGTTTTTAGGCTACACAGGAATCACTCAAATCAAATCACTTTATTGAACAAACGTTTTTGATCAGCAGCACACACCAAAACGGTGGTGCGTTCACTTATAATTTACAAAAGAAACATACTACATCAACGGTCTTAACAAAAGAAGTAGTCTAAAGTAAAATAATGCTATAGAAATTTCCACTAGCTAGATTAAACAAATAAATCGTGATACTGGTAGTGAGATCCGTCTAATTGCCTTTGTTTCCAAAACTGAACACCCCTTCGACTTGGCTAAGTCGATTCAATACGTCAACCCCTCTAGGTTAGATCATAGTCTATTTTCTCTATGGTTAGATTTGCCTCTTCTTGCACTACCGGTACCCGTTTAAATCGGGTTTGCACGTACGCACAATTTTGGGATTTTGAGATAATGTAATATTGACTACTTTGCGAAATAAAAAAAAAATATTTTAATGTGAATTATTTTCATAGTACGAGATAATATGAAGAAACCAAAATGTAAGAAACTGCTTGAATGTCCTCTGAAATATGCTGGTGCACTATTGTCTCATCTATTTTAAGCCATATGTTTTTATGCACTGTGGGTTTTTGATGTGTTGAATTGAATTGTGGTGTTTTTTATGTCCCGATTTTATTTTTAACTTTTAATGGACATTATATTTACTAATGTTCTATTCTTTATATAGGCCTATATTATATAGTGCCTGTAAAATTAATATAGCTTGCGCTTTATGAAATAAAGTTATAATAATAATAAAAATAATAATAATAATAATATATATATATATATATATATATTCTTAATATAGCGCCATATAATAATCTCTCAGAGCGCTATTGTTATGATATTAAATTTGCACGTTCACAAGAATAGGAATGAAATTGAATTTGGGATCCAATTGAGCTGCTGCTGAAAAAAAAAAAACTAACGATAATGTTAACAGTACTAATAGCACAATTAATTACATCAGTGTTACATAAAATGAAAAGAATGGTAGTACTGTAACCTTTGAACTTTCAAGGACTCTATTATGGGATGTTCCCGCGGAGTCTCGCTCTCTCGTGGGGGTTCGTCGACTAGCCAAGCTGCGTCTTGTTGGAGGCTCACACTTTGTATAGAATAAAACCGTTAACATCAAGCTTACTTGGTGTCTGGCTCATTCATTGAAATCCGAACTCATCTAGTAACATCCATAGAGAGTTACAGTACCAGGATTTTTTTTTAAAGAGAGCACCATTTAACGGTGGATACCATATCTTTTCAAAAAATTCCGCAGCCATTATCCTCAATAATTTTCAATACGTAGATGAGAAAGTATAAACTGGACCATAGCAGATTTGTATAACAATCATTTTGATTATTGCTGCTATGTAATCTCCTAAATATTTATTCGGAACTACTGAGACTAATTAAAGGTGTATAGCCACTTTCAACAAAGCCTAAACCCTCAACCTTCTTGCCATGTGAGGTTTTATGATTTTGTGAAGATGATCATGGGTAGCCTGTGACATCTGTGATTGTTGCAACCTTGTTCAGAATTCATTAAGGCTACTTCGAATATGAGTGTGATGCAAGGGTAATGAACAAGGAACAATAGAACTGTTCACTGGTATGACTGTGGTGGAAGGTTTCTTGATGACGATCATGCCATGTGATTAGTAGAGTTACAATTGCACCTGACATTCTATTTCCGTTATGGTATGGTAAATCTAGTATAAAACTATAGTGTTAGCAAAAAATAAATACCGTAAATAAATATAAAATAAAATTACTAATAGCAGCTTTTCTTTCATAAATTTACTTTTTAGTACTTTAGTGTTCTGAAATAAAACTATATAGGCCTACTAGCAACTTTTTCTTTCTTGAAGGTACTGTAGTTTTGTGTTATAATTTGTATTGTTCTATTATTCCTAAGGAAACCAATTTTAATTGTCGATTAGTGTAATGTAAATATGTGTATTTTCATTTAATTTATATATAATAGATTGTGTATATATCTTTTATTTCTAATGAAACCAATTTTATTTTTTGGTTAGTGTAATGTAAATATGTGTACTTTAAGTTTGTATATAAAACTTTTGTACATATGTTCTTAACACGCTAATTAAGTTATTAATTACTGTGACATTTGAATTTTATTTCATTTTTATCTAAATTTGTATATACTTGTATTTATGTCAAAATTATTTAAGTCAAAACGGCCTTTTGAAAAACACAATTAGTGATTCAAGTTTTTCCGTTTAAAAATAAAGTTATTATTATTATTATTATTTCTGTGGTCTCCAAGGATTTGATCTATGTTTGATGATCTGGATTTAGCTAGATGAGTAACTGGTGGACTAGCTCTGAGGCCATTCCTAACCAAGGGGTCAGTTAGTTCCATATGTTTTTGTTTTTTTTGCCCTCTCTAGTGATGATTTAGGAGGACTGTCGCAGAAAGATAACATCATGGCTGGATGGATGTAACCGGAACTTGCTAAACCTAAAGCAACTTTATCAACATGGAAAGCTCTTGCCGATTTCATTTCAAATTTCTTTTCAGAGTCGTCACATTTTGATTGGTGAAAGATTTGGAGAGATGTTAGAGGCACCGGTTTTGAGTTGCTGTAACTGTAAATGATTTACGTAGCTGCTAACATTCATGGTCTTACTTGTGTAAAATGATTGAGTTGGTGTCGGTTTAGAGACTTGTACAAAGAAGATAGCTACAACCATGTCTTGGTGCTTTGCTGCGTGCTTTTATTCACTCTGGCTGTATAATAAACTACTACAGTATATACAAAGCGACCGATTTCCTGGTACTCATTTGAGATATTATTAACAGGTAGAACATATTTAGAGGCAGAGTCTGCAGTCTAATTCTGGATCAATTTCCAAGAGTATCTGGGAATCGGTGACATTTGGTGTGTCTCTATATACTATCTATACTATTTGAGATGTGTTTAATGGCGTCACCTCATGTTTTGGGGTTTCTGATTGGATCATATGATGTATTTCCTTGTTTGTTCAACTACATTGAAATACTCTTAATTTTGATGGACTGACCTGCCAAAAGTTTACTTTAAATTCCTTCTATCCTTACATTTAAAAGCTCAGAATGTTTAGGTGTAATTATCCAAGGAGGACACTATATAAAGAGCGATGATATAATCGACGGATTTTATACGCTGGTTGGGTATTTGTCGAACTTGTTCTAATTGAGACATTCAGTATCAAATCTAAGGTATCGATATTCAATCATTATATAAGTAATATAATTGAATCCTAATAATACATTTACACTTGCATTACGGTATTTCATGGTGCAATTTAGCACCAGGTCTTGGTAGATCTATGTCCTCCCATTAACGTCCGGTGAGACAAGAGGAAGTTCAATTGCATGTTAGGAGTATTGTCACCTTGACCTTCGGGAATGAATGTTCTGATCACATAATCATTGATATGATCGACACATGTATTGTGAGCTTTCTGCATACGTGTAGGGGGATCTTGTGCATGTCCCAATTTTCAGAAGAATTATTATATTTACATTAACTTTTCACATGATATTTAGCATACTCCGTGCTGCTGATAACCCCTTTTGTGGCCTGATGATGTGCCTCTATTATTGAACCCAATTCTATCAAGAAATCCCATGGAATTTCCATTACAGTACAATTCTCCGGGGAACACTTTGTAACTGAGCACATACCATAAGGACCACATAATACATTTTAT